GGATGTTTTTAAGTTTAAATAGCATGAAAATACGCTCGGTTTGATTTCAATAATGTCGGAAGGGTTGCAGGAAGTCCTGGATCCACGTGTACAGGTAAATCGTAAGAATATTCTGGTAATTCCGGTCAATTCTACATTAATGAATCAATGGAAAAGTATATACATAAATTTACATTGATACATTAATTAACCTATGATACAATCACAGGCTAAACAGTGAATTACAGAATAATTACTGTTATGTGCTATGAGATGAATTGGAACAGGTTAAGAATTGTACTAGACACTGTGAAATAAATAGGCCATTGCTCAATATAGTAGTGGACACCTGAAAATCTATATATAGTGGTTTAGTAAGGTCTATATATAAAGTACATACACCTGTACTGTAGTCAGGGGTGATCTGCATGTAAAATACAGTGTTATGAATCTATAACTTAAGACCTCATATTTTTATATGTATTATTTGGTAGAGGAGAAGGACCCGAAGCGTAGAGTGGGGTGATTGGACGTCCCCGGTTTGGCCCGTTTTTAATATTTGAAAAATCAGTCTTAGAACAGAGAAATTTTATTAACGCGCCACTGTATGATACGGATCAATAAATAAATTTTAATCGGCTTTAGATCCCATCTTTGCCTATTCCGAAATGTTTTCCCCGGTTGGATATTATGGTCGGCCTACTTGGAGCTACGACAAATTAAGTCTGGCCTTTACTGTTGTTTATTAATGCTTTTTGTATTTAAGTTTCTTTAAGTTTGAATATCATGTTGCAATGTTATATTATTATTATTTTTTTTAATTTCTTTTGGTATTCAGTATTATATTGTTTCTTGTATATATAGACGAAATGATTTTGATTTGTTTTTGCAATATGTAATATACCAAAATAAGATTTATATTTGTGAGCATTTATCGTTAATACTTCGAAGATAAACTTAAATAGTGAATTAATACAGTGGGGGCCACTTTTACAGGATTGTTTCTTTTTCAAGTTGCATACAAAATAACCTGCAAGCAATGGCCACGTCTGAAAAACGGCCATGTTTTATACAGTCAAACATCTGAACAATCGCCACCTTTCCCTCGGTGGCAGTTGTTGAGAGGTTTGGCTGTATAAAGAAGCAGAATCGAAAGGATATTTATATTCAATTATGTTGATGATGTAAGCTACTTTCCCCAAAATGACAATAGAAGAGTCTGACTACTACGCGAGACATACGTCATCAGCTATCTTCTTCGCGGGTACAGACAAATAACGGTAAAAATATCTTTTCGCCACTGATTTGGCTTTAAAAATCAAAATATAAAACTCGGATGCATTAAAAAAAGAATATCCGTTAATCTCATTTCCCATTCGAGTCTAAAAAATTCGAGTTAATTCTAGAAATATATTTGTAACATTCCATAACTTCTAGTTGTTAACTGAAGTTTTAATTGAAACTTTAGAAATAAATGGAAATTTATTGATTAAAGCGGCTCTAAATATGTCAATAAGGTAGTAAATATTAAAAAGTATTTTAAAACATAGTCTTAATTAACGTTAGATTAGCTTTAAACCATTTAATTTGTGCAATTTAGGCTGCCTAATTTTTAATTTCATAGTAAATTTTTACGATAGTAGACATTTTTTATCATTAATAATAATTTTCTTTAACTTATATACAGTAATTGATATACAATCAAGCCTGGGAACAACGGCCACCGACGGAAACAGAAGATGGCCATTGTTTAGAGGTTCCCTTTGTTTGGAAGTTTATTTTGATAAATAGTAAAATTTATGTACTGTATTTATTTGTTTTATTGATGTATTTTTACAGCATTCGGAAAGGAATGAGGACCCAAATTCACGAATATTCAGGGCTCCTCTCGTGTCTCTTAGGCTCTAAAAACTAACTTTTCAATGCCATTTATTTTTATTTTTTTCTTTCATTTATTGCGTGTAGAAGAATCATTAAGTCTGAAACATTATTCTTATCATTAAAATACTTTTGCTGCTGTCATGAAATAGTTTTAATCAATTAAACGAAACAATTTGTACTTAAACTTTGTTGCTCTGCATTTTATTATAGGTCTATTCTATAAATTCTGGAAATAATGTGCTTTCTCTCTCGTATGCCCATTATTTAATGTACCTTCATCATAGTTGATCCTTAATTGCTCCAGTAAGCGTAACTAGAATCGATAAGGGGGGCCCGAATTAGAACGTGCAAACCTACATTCGCTCCCGTACCTATGTGGATTTAGCCACCAGCGCCGTGGATAAGAGTAAACTCTTATTGTATAAGCAAGTATATAATTGGGTTTTTCACGTTCAAATCTTTTTTTTCCGTGCTTGTGTGATCTTTTCTTACTTTATTTCTTTACAAATGTAAGCGGGTGCCACTCTGGTTACACTACTGAATTATTCATCGAATGTATTTTTCGAGACAAAAATTACATCTTGCAAGAGTTTTTATCGTAGGCTTTTTTTATAAGCACTTCAATTAATGTATTTACAGAGAAATTTCTGAATATTAAACAAATTTAGAGTCGATTCACACGCGCTAAATTCAAAATTTACAACTGAAGCGATTAATTAACTGAAGCTCGTCTCACCTCATTTATTATTTTAAATTAAAATCGAAATTTAATAAAATAATAAATAAATTATTAAAAACTTTAATTTTTATTCTAAAATATTTTAAAAATTGNTTGATTATACTAAAGAAGGGTTCCATTTAGCATTTATGCACTTTTGAACTGTCACATTGTTAAACTTGCTCTCTAAAGGCAAATTTTGCTTGGGGGCCACGCAGCCCCCATGATACCAGTTACGTTTGAAAAATTTACGATACCAGTTAAGGGTTAAATTTGAATTACAAATTTTACTTTATAAGTTGGAAAAATATTAAAATTAATCGACATCATTTTATTGTAGTATTAATTAAAAAATTTATTGTTTTATTTGATAAATGTTTTCGATGTTAAAGAAAACATATATTGATATTGTTATCAACAATATATATAAGTTGAATTCTAAATATACAGAATGTCTCATAAGTCTTGAACCATATGAATCATGTTGATGTTTATTTATTCTCTTATAGCTATAGTATGGTGCTGAGATAAGGGAAATGAATTCAAGTTATTTTGATGGTTGGGACCCATAGTCAGCTTGAAACCTTCAAAAAGTTTAGGCTGCTTGCATATTTCCTACCAGTTGCTCAGGGTGGTCCAGATGCGGTCTATTAAAATTTTTGGCAACTTCAAGCTACAGGTCCCCATCACCAAATAACTTTAATTCATTTCCCCTTATCTCAGCATCATGCTTTACCTGTAAAAGAATAAAGATCAACCTAACTCCTATGTTTCAGACTTATGGGACACACTGTGTAAGAGTTTTCTTTAAAAATTAATCTGAATTAAATTATTATTTAGTAAAATTCCTATTCTGCATTCTTGCATTGAAATTGCAAATATGTTATGTATAGAAGTGTAAAATATGACAATGTTTTTATATTATGTTGATTTAATGTTGTAAATTTTTGTTACATAAGTCTTTATTGTATATAAATTATTACAATTACATTGCGTAAGTTTACTGAATGACATTTGAAACTTGATAGCTTCGTTTTATTAACATAATAAATATGTTAAATCAATTTATTAGCATTCAGAATGCAAATAATATGTAAGGCAATTTAATTTGATTGAAAATCTAATCTGTGAATAATGAAAAGTTTAAATTGTTGTTACTGTGAATATGTAGAACATATTTTTGATATATATATATATATATATATATATATACAGACTGTGGCTGAGAATGAACATGAACAGTAATATGGTGTCTCAACTGTCTAATTCTGAGTGATCCCGAACTCTATTTTAAATATATAATGTGCTGTATTAATGTCTGATTTTATCTTGCTAATCCAATGTCTCCAAATATGGGGTTGTGACCCCAGATGGGTTCATCAGTTATTTCATATACTTTTTCTTTATAAAGACCAATGAAATTATTAATTAATCAACGGATTGTCAACAATGAGCATTGTTGATCTTCATAAAAAGATAAAATTGTATTTATTCAGTAACAGGATGAATACAACAGACACAGAGCCAACTTCCAGTACATATAATACAAAAGACGAACACTGCACAAACTTTTTCCAACTTCTTCCGAGTTCTCCTTTAGATGCAACTGAATGGTTACCTGACATTTGTGCAGTGTTTCTTTTTTGTACTATACACACCAGAAGCTCTGGATCTGTTTGTACATATATTCTGTTGTGGAGTGGTATGTATATAACAGGATGAATAGTTTTGATGATTGCAACCTGTTTGTTATAGTTCTGAAATGTATATCAAATAACTTAATTATTTCACAATGTTTAATTCTTTCAGTTTGTTTAACTTTTATTTACATTTTCCTTTATATCTTCTTATTATTTAACAAATGTATTTTGCATATCCTGGTCTCAGTATTTGGTTTCATGAAACACTTTCAACACTATTTTGAAATTTAAAGTCATTTATTTCTTCCAATGTTGCAAGATTTAGCTACATTGGGACAAATGTGGCTACTTTTTTTTGTTTGATGTAAAAAATATCATTTAGCGCTTTGGCTACTATTTCGGCTACATATTATTTATAATTTTATTAATTGAATAAAAATCAACTTTAAAATGGTGTTTTGTCACGTTTTATTAATTAGAGACCCAAATAAAACAAATATTTGTGTTTTTCAAATAAATTTTCGTTTCTCTCTTTTATAATAAATGAATTTATCTATTTCTAAGTAAAAATTGAAAGTGTCTATAGAAGTAATTTTTTAAAATATGCTTTTTCTTGATCAAGTTTTAATACTTATTATTATAATCTAGACATGTTAATTTTTAAATATACTTGTATATTGGGCCACAAGTATATTATATATACTTGTGGCCCAAAACTCCTTGACTTCTTCCGATGCGGCCCAGAGAAACAAAAAGGTTGGACACCCCTGGCTTAGACTAACTTAAAGAAAATCATTTTTTGTCAAAATTAAATAATAATCTATTTATTAAAACAGTATGTATACAATAAATTAATTTATAAATGTGTTCTGTGACAAAAATTCTGACACATTTTAGTTGTTTTGAAATTTGACAAGGATGGAAAAAGAGATGAAGTTTATAGTTTTCACAATTACAATTTGCTAGATTATTATTTTGAATGAGTATTAAAAATTTTTGATTGTTTATGACAGATATTTCATTTCTGTCATTTAGTGTATCCAAGACAAAAGGACAATCATCAGCCATGTATTTAATATTTCAGGATCAGCTGGAGAATCTGAATGTTTGTACAGATAAAATCAACCAGTTAGAGTTACAGCTGGATGTAAGTATCTGCAAATAATCTATTTTTCTAAGTAGAATAAATAATTATATTAATATATTTGTAGGAAGCGAATGCCGTTTTTCGGAGTACATTGAGCGAATCGAGCCAAAGGTTGAAACAGCTCGCCAAGAAATCGGGAAAGTGTATCGAAATTGCAAGACCGTATTATGAGTCGAAAGAGGCGGCGAGATTGGTTTGTATTTTATTTAATTACTTAGTTAAAGAATTTATTAAAAAATTGTAGATGTAGAGAATGAATTTTTATGCATTTTAGGCTCAGATGGAGTGTCAGAAGGCTGCGGTGCAATATCAGCGTGCTTGTAGTATTCATAAAGCTGCACGAGAGACCATTACTATGGCAGAAGAGAAATTTCTAAATAAAGATAACAATTGGAAATTCAATACAGCTTGGCAAGAAATGGTGAATCATGCAGCTATAAAAGTAAATACTATTATCGATTGATGATACAATTTATCTAACATATACATAAAAATTAAATACAGTTGTATAAATATGGTATCACAGATATTTTATTGAGTAATAAACAGTTGTTATTATTTTAGTAAAATGAATAAATAATTGATTATATTTGTTTATTAATAAATATCAGGAATTTTTATTTAAAGAAAAAATAAAAGAAATTTTTATATAGGTATTAGAAGCAGAAGCATTAAAAGTGGAGAGTGAAAGGGAACATCAGAAAAGAGCACAGATGTGTGCTGTTGCGGAAGAGAAAGTTCAAATTTTGGCTAGACAATTAAAGCATGCAATCATAAAATCGAGGTGATAATTTAAAAATTATATGATTAATTATATTACGGATTTAACTGTAAAGATTTTGTACATATTGTTAATCAAAATAGACACCTTTATATTATTGGGCTACAGTTTGAAAAAATTGTAGACCTATAAATTCCCGCTGTCGTCCATCTGTCCGTCTTTCCTTTATCTTAAGAACAGAGTTAGTTTGATGAAAGACGAGACCAGATAGGGAAACCTTACAAAGAGGATGCCCAATTTAACTATATATATGAGCTTCTGATGCAAAGCATGGAAGTCATGTTATTTCAATTCAAAAATTTTTTCCGAAAAGGTGTTAGATAGATGACCCAACAACTCTACTGTTAAAGGAAAAGTATAATGTACAGAGGCAAGCCATTACTAATGTGAGGTGGAGAGCATATATCTTAAATTAAATAAATTAAAATATCATTAAAAATTGCAGCCCATCATTGTGATGATGTTAAAATAAATAATTGCTTGTTTATTTTCTGAGTTTTAAGTAATTACTATTAAAATAAAATGTAAAGCTTAGTCGTTACCTAATTAAAATTGAGTTTATTCATTTCAACAATTTAGAATCAATGGTTAAAACAAAAGAATAATTTAATTATTCTTTCACTTAACCCATTAATATAATGTATAGTTGGATATGCTTGTTCTGTTAATGGCTATTGGCTACTAAAATGTATATGAAGTACTTTAACTTATCTCTTTTTGATATTTTTTTAGATGTAGAAGCAAAGTATTGTTTTTAAGAAAATTTAAGTAAATTATAGGTTCTTGTTTGAAATGTAGTTTTATCTATTCTAGTTTATAAGTATTAGATGAAGAAATATGCACCTTAACATTTATTTATGTAAATTTATCATTGATTCTATTAGGAAAGAATTTATACTGTTACTGAGTTTATCCTAATAAATATTTAGCAATTTCAAGGTTGATAGATTAAAGTATCTGAAAAGCTTATTTATAATACTTTGCAAAATAAAAAATTAGGTAAAAGTCCTGGAAAACATAATTCTGATATGACATAATATTCAAATAATCACCAAATATGCAGAACCAACAAATGTCAAGGTTCTACATGTTTGGTGATTATTTGAATGAAAATGATGAATAATTAGATTAACAAATTATTCTTTAATTAATCTTAATAATATTTTCATACATAAACAACTGTAGTCTTAAATGATAACATTAATTTTATATATATTTGCTTATGAATGGATGTAATCCATTAAAGGAAGAGAGCTCAAACTTAGTTTATAATTTCAGTGACAGTTGACTGAAGATAATTTTGGAAAATGATCACATAATAAGCTCAGATTATCTGTTAATAATACAGTAGAGCGTCGATTTTCCGAAAGTCAATCATCCGAAAGAATTCCAGTCCGCAAATTTAAATTTTCGCCAGTGCTGTGGTTCTTCAATCTTTGGCTATGTCTTGAGCTACTCAAATATTTTACGTTTTTGATACTAAATTAACATCTGAAGTATAATTTTTTATTGTTTTTATATTTTTCAATATATTTATTTTGTTTGTACAAAATAAGAAAATATTTTTAACGATACAATAATCTTCGTAAGGCTTAACATCGACGAAAATTCAACGCGAAGCGATACGCAACGGATAAAAATTTCGACATCGGATACATTAAACTATTTTTTCGTACGTAAATCAGTTATCCGAAATATCAGTTATATGGACAACCCCAGTCTCCAATTGATTCGGAAAATCGACGCTCTACTGTAATTTGGTTCTATGGAAAATTACTTTTATGAAATTAAAATTTGTATTTCTGTTTTTATCCTGCATTGGGATAGTCAGTGAAATTTTGTGCAGTTGGGGTTTAACAACCCCAATAAATTAAATTCAGGAATCAGTTATAATGTTATGTTTATATAGGAAAAATGCACTGTGATGGCCAAACTGTGGCTCACGATGTGCATGCTGCTTTAGACCCTGATTGCAATACACTTTTATATAATTTCCTTTTTATAAAATTGGTACATACTACTAACACATATGTAATATTTTTGTAAATTTTCTGACTATTGTGTAGTGTAATATAAACAGAGATTTGTAAATGTAATTCTCAACTTAAACTCGGACAGGAAACTGAAAGCTTAGGGTACATTCATAAGTCAAAGGAGTTAAGTGATTGTTTACCTAGTCAGTCATTCAGTAAAGTAATAGTAATATTAACTATATATATCAATAATATAGTTATCACTATTCTGTAGTTAAAATATTATAAATAGGTGATGTAGTTCTCCATTAACATTCCAATAGAGGATGTTGTTCTCCTATATTTTTGATAGGCAGTGTATTGGCTCCTGTTTTGACAAAGTTTGGCCACCCTTGATATATAATATTTTTATTTTACAGATTTTAATATTTGAGATTAGTTTTTTTGGATTGAGATGTATAACTGAATATTACAGGCTACTAAAGTTATAATTTATCTTTTACAAGCTGTTTTATTTCTAGAGAAGATGATATAGTGCAAAAAATTATGACGATATCTAAGAATTCATTGTATTAATTACATTTATACACAGCAATTTGAAAGTTCAAATTCATGAAAAAGTTCGGTAATATTTAAATGAATGATTAGCATAACTTTTTAAAAAATTCAGAATAAAAGTTTTTTAAAGTACAAAAAGCCCAAGAATGTTAATTTAATAACGCTTTTCCTGTTAGATTTTCTAAACTTTTGAATATTTATTTATTGAAATAGATCATCATTAATTAATAATTTTGTTTTTTTAAAGAAACAATTTATTTTTATTAGAGTAATTGAAAATACATTTTCTATGTTTATATCATTCAAAGTGAATTTCTAGATGTTAAAATAGAAAGTATTAACAATGGCGTAAGCTTGTAAAGATTTTATTGGATTTAATGGAGTTATATTACTAAAACAATAGAATTTCTATTTATAGTAATTTAAAAGTATGTGAAATTAAGTGACGATGATTATTTAAATTTCTGTCTTAATTTATTTGAATTTCTGATATTTATGAGTTAAATAATAATAATGTGCATGTGATTTTTGTTTCATGTGATGAAATTAAATAATACCTATAATAATAATTACATATATATATATATTATTAATGGATATTTGAAATATCTTTTGTCAAATTATTCATAAAATTTTAAAAATAAGACTAAACCTTACTTTAATTGGCATGCAAACTTAAAAAGTGGACTCTGGATGAGATTGTAACTAAATTTTGTTGCATGCTGGACCTATATAAAATTTTTATATTTTTTATTTCTTAAATAAAGAAAAATTAGTGGGGAAGTTTCAATGGAATTCCTTAATAACCATATTAAAAAACCATAAATATTTATATTGAATGTCATTTTTCAGAATCACCTTGCTAGCAAGAAGCCTGTATCAATACAAAATGCCACAAGCTTTAATTTCACATGTACAGTGCCAGCTTGAACTTCAGCTGTTTCGTATATATAATACTTATATAAGTATATTGCATTTACTCTTCTTTATTTTTATTATTGAGCTGATCATTTTATGCCTGTATGATAGTTTTAATATGGTTGTTAACTCTTTATTCTGATACTTAATAGGTACTTCAGAACTTCTTAATTGTCAGTTAGAAAAACTTCATGATCTATTTATCCATGTAAAAAAAAATAGCACATATTTATTTCCTTGGTTAAATAAACTCCAGGATGGTTTGTTTTTTGAAATGTACATATCTCTAGAGTTTATTTGAAGTCTCAGGTTTTTTTGAGGCTGGGGTTTATTACTTTACAACAGGAGATATGAGTAAAACTTGAAAGAAATACCTTAATTACTCATACATTTCCAGATCTATCAAAACTACTATTTATAGGTTACAGCTACAAAATTTGAAATATTATTTTCACAATTAATGTAATTCTCTTTTCCAGTTTGTTTGCTACATTGCCATTGTTTGTTTCTATGTTGGAATCATTGTCTTGGCTTCCATCTCCAATTTGAGTTTTCCTAATTGCCCCTTGCTTGATAAGTTTTCAACTTACAAACTCAATCCCAATTTTCCCATGCTCAATAATTGACAAAATTGATTTTCAAAAATATTTCCGTTAACCTTGGAATAGAAATAGTGCTGTCTAAGTATTAACAATTTTAGAGGTAGAATCTCAGTTAAATTTCTTACCTGCTAGTCTAAACTATATTATCCTACACGTTGCAGTACTTCAACATGTTTTCCATGCTTTTGAACTTGGGGTTTATTTCTAAGAGTGCCTTCATTCCATGGTATTTATTTGAAGAACAGAGTTTATTTGAATCCTTGGGTTTAATAGAGAAAATTGGGGTCCGTGAAGGAAGATTAGAGGTTCTGGGTGACAAAAATTTATATATTCTAAATTTGTATTATGACATTCAACATAATCATTCAGCCCTGATAGTATGCAAACAGTCCATTGCTGCTTCACTGAAGCTTTCGAAAATGCAAACAATTACTAGTATTTTGTTTGTTTGTATTATTTTTCATAGCGAAATAATTAAGAATGTAAAATGTAGTCATTGAATGAAGGTATCATCCTGTTACGTATATTAAATACTTGGATTGGATGTCATGCCAACAGTTGTGCCAAACATAAATATATTTACATTGAAAGTGCTTGCAAGATTAAAATATTCCTTTTAAATTCTCTTTAACACCTCCTAATCTGAAGGTATCATACTTTATTGTACTAAAATATGTCTCGTTCACTTATAAGATAAAATGGTAATTTGAAAACAACTGATCTACATACACGTGCTTGACGGCAGTTACTGGACCAGTAAGGCTTACAAGTAGGTTTTTGGAGATGAACATTAACTGAAACAAAACTATTGTCTGCATCATACTAATATACTAAATTAATATGATATATAGATATATATATAACACAAACTAAATTAGGATGCAATCAGTTAACTAATTTTGAGTACTGATTGTAAAGTCAATTGATCGAAGGAACCAAAGTTTGGCAAAAGTTGAGATATTCTCGACTTATTGAACAGATGAACACTGGCAATCTGTATCCACTTGTGGTTTGTATGCCAATATGACCCTAGCTTAATGTTTTAAATTTATTTGTTACCTCAAAATGATTATCTTAATTATTTACTTTATGACACTTATTTTACAGTGGAGAAGGATATTAAATCAATAGTTTGATTTCATATATTTTATATATTCTATATATAAGCCCATATTCTATTTTAAAACCATTTGATTTGATTTTCTTTTACTAGAAAATCCTAATTCTAAATGTTTTATTGATAAAATACAGGTATGCACTACTTAAGGACTAGGATATGTCATTAAGTACATTCCATGTTGCTCACTTAGACAAACCTTGTATGGTATAGTCTATTACTCATATAGGTTATATGTAATATGATAAATATTTGTGTATCTAAACGTAGAAAAGATATAGTAAAAATTATATTCATATTGCATAATTATAAATGTACTAAATTAGACAATTTGTTGTTTAGAAATTTTCTGAAAATACTTCATTCCATAAACTTTTTGGACACCTTGTGTACTGGTCCTGTAGGTTTGTTTGTGTTTTAATGGCTCACAGCAGCAGCATTATGCAATATATTAAAGGCAGCTACAACTTTTTCAGTGCCATTATACCATTATTAAGCTTGAGACCTCCATTGTATATGTGGTTTGTCATTAAGTGATGTACACCTCTTCAGTACCAGTATATGAAATGCTGGTACTGAAGATAAAGTAATGAATAAAAGAACAATAAAATGAACTGTAAAACTTTAAATGATATTACCATAAATTTCTAATTAAACTATATTTTTATTTATGTAGACAATATTTTGAAGAGAAAACAGAATTTCAAAAAAAACTTCAGGTAATATATTATCTTAATATTCATGATTTACATCTGCAAATTAAAAAAATGAATCGGCGATTTTATTAATACAGGATTTGAAGCTTCGTGTCGATAGTTTACAGAAATCGGTCAGTGATGCCAAAGCGACTTATTCCAAATCGCTGCATAATTTAGAGATAATATCCGAAGAAATTCATGAAAAAAGAAGGATGTTACAACCAAGAGAACCTGGTGTTGGTGCTGAATTAGAAGCAACAGAATCATTATTAGATATAGGTAAAATTTAGATTCAAAAAATATTTTTGTCGCATTTAACAAAAACTAATTCTTTGAATATTATTTTAGATAAATGTCATCTTATCGACAGTATTAGCCAAGCAGATAATGATTCGCTGGATCGAGAAAGTAGTTACGATTCTCTCGATACTACTTTCGAAAAGATGATTCCTGGTAAGTGAAAGAAATGAGACTATAAAAATGATTTAATTTTGATTTATATAACTATTAAAAAGCTTTCTAATTACAGAATTAAATTTAAATATGTTTGAAGTTATCAGAACACGAACTCTCTCTGAATATAGTGCATGCTCTTCTACTGTAGAATCAACAGCATGTTCTTTCCGTTGTGGCTCGGTCGAGCCCGAATGCAATTCCGATATCGTCCACCAAAGGGAAGTATCGGACGTTAGTAAAATTAGTTCTCAGATTCGGAATCTTTCGATAGACGATAGCAGTGAATTTGTAGAAATTGACCTCAATAGCGATTAGTCGTTTTAAAGTATCTACTTTTTTATATTGTTATGAGGAAAGTTTTAATCAAAGCATTCCATTATTCAATATCTATCAAAATATCAATTTTGTCCTTTTAACTAGAATGTAGGATAGTAGTGTTAAATTTACATGTACGACAAACAAATTCTAAGTATTATTTTTATGACAAAAATGCACATTAAATGTATTCATGTAAGGTTTGTTAGAAGTTGGACGGTGAGTAGCAACAGAAATGTATAATAGAAAGATTACGAATCATTTATTTAATAATAATATATGTTTAATTTATTTATCAAAACATTACCAAAAGTTTTGTTATAAAAACTTTAACTATAATTTTCTTCTCTGGCAAGTGTTGTATAATAATTCTTAAGCGAGAAGATATTTAAGTTTCAAAGAGAAATTTTCTCAGCTCTGTAAATAAATAAATATAGGTAAGTGCTATAATTAATTTTATTATGTAGATAATTTAATACTAAATACTTATAGATGTTAGAATATTATAAATAGTAGTAAGGCATTTGTCGTCGAGTAGGAATGTTAATGTATATATTAATATTATTGTTAAATTCTTCTTCACTCTTCGGGTACTCACTTAAAAGCACGAATGAAAAAAGCAATAACAAAAAAATTACGTAACAAGGTTTGGTGTAGGTCCACGATAATAGAATAATTTTACAAATAATTATTCAATATGTCAATTTCTACATATCTTAATTCACATATTCTGCATTGCACGTACAGTTTTAGTTAGAATTTCGATAATTATTTTCTTATAATTTGCATTATTCATCTATGCCAGGGGTGGCCAAACCGTGGCGCATGCGCCAAACTTGGCGCATTGGACGATTACAAGTGGCACTTTAGTCAGTTCTGAGCAACATTGCCAGATTTGGCTTCTTTGCAATTAAGAATATTACATAGAAAATTAATTTTTTATAGTCTGTCTTGGCAAGTTCATTTGTTGCACAATTCGTTGCAATCAACTTTACAGATAAAATGAGTGTTCTCCACATAGTAAATTACAGTGTATGTATGTATGTTTATTTTCGATCAGTGCATAGGCGTCTAAATGACAGTGCTACCGTCCGGACAGTCCACGAGTCGGTTGGACTGCTACACCTGTTAACCTTTTTTTTTTTTTTTTTGCTTCTACGATTCGCGATACATTCGCAATCGTGTATGCCACTAATGTCAAATGGGACTATTTTGTACGGGTAACTACACCACCACCGCATTTTTTATTAATTTTTTTTTCACACAACTGAATTTTGATCTTTTAAATTGAAATACCTGATTAAAGGGTGGCCGAAATTTTTCTCCGCCCCGGGCGGCTAACACCCACGGTACGCCACTGCGCATCTGAACTCGTCTATCAAAAAATGGCGCATGGTATGCAAAAGGTTGGCCACCCCTGATCTATGCAATATTTCATTATTATTTATATTAAAGAAATATTTAATTATTCTTCTATGCAATATGTTTTAAAGTAGAACAAATTAGGATGAAAACGATAAAGGTCATAATAATAATTTTTCAAAAAACAGTTTAATATATTTTTAATAAACTAACTTTACAGTTTCTTACTTGCTGATTTCTTATGAGTGTTTTTAATATTTTGTTGTTAATTTTAACTATTAAAATTTACAGAGAAACCTTGTTAATGCAAATAAAATAAAAGTTAATTTTGACATCTTTATAAAAACTATAATAGACAGTTTCTATCTTAATGAAGTATAGTTTGAAGTTCTATAAAAAAAAATTTATCATAATTCTTTTACGATTAGTTTTGTGTTGTACAGATATTTGTTACTTAAGTAGAATTATAGCCAGAACAATTCACTTGGACTTTAAAATCAGATTTTAGAAAAATAATCAGAGAATGTGCATTTACATATTGGTTGAACTCTTAAGAATTAAGATTTTTTAGTAATTTTATTTAGCATGAACAGATCAAGTGTATCTTCTCATTAGATAAACTAGGAAGACTCAAAATTATTTAATTATTTCCCTTTGTCTTCATGTTTTAAACAAAAAACTTTTAAATGTGTTGATTATTATAATTTTATTTTGCCTCATATTGTTGTTGAAGCTTTCCTTAAGATGATACATTCTGTATAATATTAAAAGGTTTGTTATTTTCATTTAGTTTCAACACTTTAATTAATGCCATGTTTTTTTATAATAAACTTTCTATGGTATAAGTATGAAGGTTAATAAGAAGCTTATTGATTTGTTTTTTTGGCCTAATTTTCTGTTATCTTCAGTGTCGTATCTGAAATTTTAGATTCAATAGAATATTTTTAAGTTAAAATTTTAATTTTATGCTGAAGGTAGCTTAAAGTTCAGGTTTTGACTACTTTAAATATTGCATTGTTTTTCTTGTTATTAAAAATGATGGTAACATGATTTGTGGATTTTGCTGGTGTTAAAGTTTCTTCTCTCTCCAGTTCATTATAATCTTACCAACTTAATTGTAAACCTAACATTTAATATATTGAAAGAAGAAGAATATGGAAGTGATGATAATTAATTTTATTATGATCATCGGTAGTTTGAAAGAAGAGATGGGGCCTGAACTACAGTCTATCTGTCCTGAAAGGTATGTGTGAGTGATATTAATTTGTCTTATGTAAGAAACATGATAGAAATTTTAAGACCCCTGCCCTAGTCTGCATCTATTACAAAAAATTTAGTTTTTAAGTATGCATGACAAATTTCCAAATTTGATGCAAAATTTTCTCATATTCTCCCAAAGATTTCAGTTGGCTCATTATCTGGTGTATTAATTTGAAAAGGTTCTCTTGATACTTGTGAATTTTTGACTCTAGAAACCCAATAAATTTATTGTATAACATGGGGGAAGAAATCACTCCATGCCTGGTTGCCTAATGATTATATCTGCAACATACTATTTCCAAGACTGTTTATTGAATTTTAGTACTGCTCTACTCAATAAATTGTTTTCTATTAAGTAAAATTTAGAACTCGGCAAAGATATTGGATATTTGAGGCAAGTCATAGGCATAATACATTTGGCACACTTGCAATGTTACCTATATATGAAGTTTTTTATGTTTAATTTTCAAGTAAAGGTAAAGTTTTACACTTAATAAAACATTTAACACGTTATAACACTGAGAATATTCTTTCTCAGTGTTATAACGTGTTAAATGTTTTATTAGGAAGCTGAGTTTGATATTCAATTAATTAGTAAAGTTTTATTTTTAGTACAAAAGTTATTTTGAGATAAAGCATCACGTTTCATTATTTAAAAATATTTATTACTGCATTTTACAGCACAAAACAAAACTTGTGTCCAAAAATTAATCCTGTATCTTATGTAGAAAGTCACAATCTTCCATATGCTAATGAATTTCTCAAATGACCTTCAGTAGGCTGTAGGTAACCTTTACCTAATCCAGCTCATTAATTAAATAAAACATTGTTTAGCTAAACAAAAAAATTATAATTGATTGGCTAATTTTGTTTGTTTTTTTCAACTAGCATACAGTTGAAAAATATTTGGGCTGAGATGGCTTTAATACACCAAATGCACCGTATTTTTTCCTAAATATACTGTGCTGGAAAGCATCTTATATGCTGTAAAATACAGTAATATACAACATGTGTATAAAAATAAAATTTTGATATTAAATGTATTCACTAGTGCTATAATCCATGGGAATTGAGTGCTCAGTATGACCATTCATAAAACAAGACCCAAAAACTTTACTGTTAAGTAGTGCCTTATTATTGTGCATATGACTAAATTTGGACAGGTTCCCTTGACTTTAACATCAAATTCAGACTCTCAGATTATTAAAAATACTGTAGGAGAACTGAATTTGACATAAAAGATTCTGGATAAAAAGAGAGCCAAGAATATCAAGTGCATGTTTCCTTAGAGTTGTATACATCTCCAGTATGACAGGTGGATTTCTTTTCTTCCTTGATTTATACTTACCAAAATCATGTGTTTTGTATAAACAAGGTTTCTCTGTAATTTTACAGTGAAAATAAGATGCTATTTTGAAAAATGTTCCAGTCAGCAATTATAAAAACTCTGCCACTATTCAACATCCATCCAGTTTATTACCACAATCAATCAGTTTGTTCGAGTTGTACTCTAGAATTACAATTATCACGAGTATTAAGAAATACAACGTATTCCGCTTATTAGCTAAATTGTAAATAGACATTTCAAAATATACAACCGAAAACAAGATTTTTGGTATGGCTATTTAATCAATATAGTTTTCCCATAATTATACAAAAGTATTATGTGCAATCTTTGTATGTATTTACATATTTAATCACTCTCGTTAAGTAATGTTAGATAATTAGATGTTTCCACAAAAGTGTGCCTTACAAAAATTGTTGTTATATATAATGTATAGAACTAGGACTTTGTTCTCTGTTATCACTAATGCTAATAGCATTGGAAATCTTGTCGGCTTGGAATATTTTTGCTACTAGAATGTACTTAATTCTGTATATTTTCTGAAAATTAAAATATTTTAGTGTTTTTTAATTTTGTGATATTATTGCCTCTAATTTTGTAAATTTTACTCTGCACATCTTTTAAAGAATATCCTACTAATTACATTTTCTGTAAGCTGAATTTGGTCAAAAAAAAAGGATTGTTTTACAAGAAAGGCATTTTGACGGCACCCGTGAGGCACACTCCCTCTCGTACGTCACAGATGGTATCCTGCGGACAACAGTGTACTTTATCGGAACAACATACAGCATTCGGAAGGGGACAACATCCCCATTGACCACTCTGTAGCTGACAGCAGGTAGCGTTATCGTTACACCGCGTTTGATCTTCACAGACGACGTCTTCAAACTTGAGAGCTCGTAAGGTTTTTAGTTTCGTAAAGACTCTACCTTCCTTAGCTTTTATGCAGGTGTTGTTTCTGTAGCAAACCAAGCCGTAGGGGCAGCAGTGGAGTCCGTCCGTGCAGCAACTTCCTGCAGGATAGGGACAACAGGTATACTGACCCGCTGGTGTGATGCAACAGGGGTCACTTCCTTGGCACATGTGGATGCGATCGGGACAGTAATTGTTTACACTAGAAGCTTCCTTTGTAATCTGAAGTAGATTATTGGACTCTTGCAAGGGAGCAATATCTAAGAGTAGTATTTATAAAATTTATTTAAAAAGATCCATTCTGAGGTGGTAAATTCTGTTAAAAAGTGAAGCATTTTCTTACCTTCCCCATTCACATCAGGACAAATTGCAGTAACAGCAAAAAGTGTTAGAAACCACAAAGCATTCATCATCCTATTAAATTTTAAATGTAATTAACACATTATTCTTTTTATAGTAAATTATAGAATCTATGTTTTGAAATGAATGAGGAAATCTTACCAATACTAAGCATTCAACATTTGATTATGTTGTGCTACAAAATCTCTGCCCCAGCGGCCATCATCCGAAGCCAAGGTAAATGGACTATGGATAAACTGATGATATCGAAGGAGACTAGGGTGCCACTGTACACTTGGATGGGGGCATGTATTGTTCAGTGTCACGTGTATAAATCATACCTGCATTGTACGTCTGATCTGTTTCATTTGGAGAAACCACGTATTTATGACTTTTTTTTAAATATATTGCAAAACGACTTCCAACCACTTAACACTTATATAACAATCCACAAAACCTTTTTTTATAATATTAAGTGAAATGTGATCATTAAATATAGGGAATAAGCAGAACACAGAGTAACATAAAACAAATACAGCAGACACGTGCTAATCCGGCCATTCTTTGCACAGAGGAATGCAGGATTACAGAGTATATAGGATTAAAGGCAACGAATGACATTGTCTGTCGCCCTTCCGTGCTGATTCTTTTTGGAGCTGTATTTTGTTGTGAGATTGTGCACAGAGAGACAGTAATTGCAAGTTTAATTCTTTAATAAAGTTTATGTTACCAGTTTCCTATATGTACTTTAAAAAATAATAAACATGAATCAGAGAAAGATATCTTGATGCGGTATGTCAGATAATTGAGAGACCAGATTAGCAAGAGTATACTTTTTTTTTGGTTGGATTTTTTTTAACTCTCCGCCCTGTGGGCACTAAGAGGGCTTCTTATTGCAAGCCCATTATGGGTTCGGCCAGGCCCACAATGGGGCTGCCGGGTGGTGAGGGACGGGGCCCGACATATCCGAACGGACCACCCCCAAAAAATTCCTGGTGAATTTTCGACCCGTTCAGATTCGAACCCGAGTTCCCCAGAGCGGTAGGCTGCCATCCGGCCGCAGCAAGAGAATACTGTTATAAAAGCAGTTTGAGGGCTTTGTTTGTTTGTTTGTGTGTGTGTGTGTGTGTGTGTGTGTGTGTGTGAATGGATAAATCGTTTTGGATGATGGCCGCAAGGGCTAGTTGTTAAACAATAGCTGTTCGCTAGACGTAAATTCATATCAGTAATGAATACCTCAGATTAGATACAATACTAGTCAATACCATAAATGCTGATAAAAAAGTAATGAAAGAGACGGTTGATTCAGATTTGTAAAGATTTAAAAAAAAAAAAAATAGATAAAATTTAGATTATAGATAAAATAACTAAAGTCTGGGCAAAATTTGATTTCTAAATTCAATGCAACCAATTATAAGCAAACTAACTCTACTAACGGAAATTTAGCTAAAAACCAAACTGTTAAAAATAATGTAAAAACAGGAATCGATAGCAAATTAATAATTAACTTAATCTGTCGACTAACGTCTTCGCAATTCCTGGTTAAGTTCAATAGGTATAGTTTGACATTAAACTCGTTCCACTAGAGGGCGACGAGTCTTCGCTGTCGATTCGTACGTTTTTCCTATGTTTTAATGCACTTTTTAAAGATATGTTTTTAAGTTAAATATCTGTTTTCTTAAAATAAATTTAATTTCTTTATACTATATTAAGGGATTTTATCTATCATCGTCACTTATATCCAATAAAAATAACCCAACATTAAATAAAATTTTGATTTTTCTTCTATCCGAAAGTAACTTCTACCAAATTATAAGATATACACGCTGCTCTAAGTGCAGAATATAGAACAATCGATTATAAAATTATTTTATATAATCTTTTAAAAACGTACTACACAACGTGACTAGTAGAATATATTATTTGTTAATATTCATTTGAAATAATAATAATATTAAACACAGTACTTACGAAGTAGTTTTCGATCCCCTTAATTCAGAAAACGAAGATACACTCTTCTCCACCCTCTCCTGTATATATACTCAGCTGATATTGACTGGGAAAGATCACGTGCTGATATAATCAACGGTTCCTGCAGTCTGATAACCAATCACGTTATTAGAAAATGTTTTTCTTCTATAGTAAAAAAATACGAGTGCTTAATTATGGCTTAGTAACAAGAAAAATAAATATAAAATTTCCTAAATTATTGTATATGATTTAACATAATTATATTCTTAACAAATAGAAAGGATTATTTTAAAAAATCTAGGATGAAATGTATTTAAAATATTACACATTGTACACACACTATGGGTTTTTATTTGTATTTATTCTTCGATTTGTAATATTTTAAAATAAATTATTACATGTTTTACTTTTAGAATAGAAATTAGAGGCTCTAAGTGCAAATAACAGTTTGTAGGATATATACAGTGAAGAGGATAAATAAACAAATGACTTATCTACTTCAGGTTCAAAGTTTTATTAATTAAATAAAGTTAAAGTTAAAGTTTCGTCGATACAATAAATATATTGCATAAAATTGATGTTATTAATACAGAATTATTTTAAACACATAGATTTGCATTGGACTCTCCAAAATATAGATAATTTGATATTACACACGCACTAGTAATATTAAAAAATATTTATATATTAATCTAATCTCGGTTATTTTCATTTAAAAAGTTAAGCAATGCCAAGAAATTTTTTATCATCAATAATTTAAAGGAGATTAGTAATAACAGAACAATTTTTGAAGTACGATATTACCCCGCTTTACTACCTACCTAGTCATTTAGTCAGCAGTCGTAAAAGCGAACCGGGATTCTATAAATTAACAGTGGCGCGCCGCTTCCCTTGTATTTTCTAAAAAATAAATACATATTAATTTTAATTATATGAAAATAATCCCACAATATTTTATTATAACCGCATTATCTATCTTATACAAATTTCTATACTACACGTGAAAAAAAGATAAGATCGCTATTGTATTGTATATTCGAATATTAGTAGCGGAGTGGAAGCACTGTATTGTTGGCTGTATTATTATATTACTCACGGATTTCAATGTTAACCGGTATGGGTACTCTCGGGATTTGGCAGCCCGCGTGCATGCATGCACGCACCGCACACCTAGCAGGACCGTCTCTGATTCCACTCGTAGGGAGCTATTTGACTAAGTGGTTAATGTGATGCTCCGGAAGTGGGTCGAAATTCGTGCACGGAAAATATTTTAATTTCGTATGAAAAAATTTTATAATTATTAATCTTATTGTAAAAAGAAACCGTCAAACGCAAAATGAATATTTTATGTCCATATAAGGACATATCTGTAAAAACTTCTAAGAAAGTCGAACTACTCAGGTTAAAACAATGGATGAATTTGAGTACTTAGATCGAACGTCTTCGATAGGAATCAAATTGTCAATCGAAGTTGACTCACCCCGCGATCTGGGCTCCGATCCCGTTACAATTCGTAACGAGGAGGGGGACCAATTGGAGAACGGGGGAAAGTCGACATCGACCTATCGGAGTGTTCGATCAGGGACTCAGAAAAAACTTATAAAAACCGCGCAAAAATAGGATGTGACGTTCTTGGTTCTAAGTTCGGTGTGCTCCGCTTCTGGATTTTTCCTGCGGTTCAACAACGGGAACTTGGTCGTCATTCCGAAAGAAGTTTTCGCCATCCCGTCCCAGCAAGTTTCGCCAAGGGTAATCTGCTACGAGAATCACCCCTTCAATTTATGCTGTGCGCCCCGGAGCCTACGTTTTCCTCATCATCTTCGCCAAAAGGAGAAATGATCGTAGAAAAGATTGAACTTTATTTACGAACTGATTCACTCTGCGGATAGGCTTTACGCCGAAGTAAAACAGTAGTTGTAAGAAAAATTTTTATTTTTAAAATTTTCGCTGGATGATAATATTGTTAATATAAAAAAAGACAGTCATTTTCCAAAAATATTTTGGAGCGATTACCGTTTATTTCTTTAAAATGTTCTGTCTTTTTTATATTAAAAATTTTTATATTTATTAAACGGTATACGATGGAGAACCTGTCTCAGTAAGTTTTTTCACTCCCACAAGACAGTGCTGACCGCTCGACTGTCGTGACACTTTCTCCCTAATCGGCAAACCTCACACTGGTGTCCGAGAAGTGGGATTTTAAGTCCCCAATCTCCACCGGGTCAACGACTTCACATGAGTATTTGAAGCAATTTGGAAATCGAAGCGGAATAGAATTTAACATTAGTAAATAATATAAAATAAATATTGAAAATTATAACGAGATAGTTACGGCTAATAGATATATTTAAATTAATAGATGTTATATGTTTTTATCAAAGCGAGAATCGGCATTTAGAGGGCATAGGGAATCTATTGAATCTAATAATAGAGTTAATTATATTGAACTTTATTAATAACTATTTATTAATTACGTCAGATAAATAATATATTAAAAATACATATAAAGAATTAACTGATCGCCCCTGGAAGTCGGCTTCTTACAGAAACACAGCTTCCCTATCATCAAATGTCACGGCACGCCACTGTAAATTAAGGTTCGGTACCCGGAAAGAATTTACGATACCGAAGAAAGTTAGAGAGGAAAGAGTCAAAACAATATCGGCACTAAGAGAACCTTTTTTTTTTTTTTTATCAAGTTCATCGTGGGTTCAATGTGGCGAGTCCCATAAAAGTTCTGCATCTTTTTTTCCTGTCTTTCTACGTTTTAATTTCATTTTTTCCAGATTTTTGATGGTTTTGTAATTACGTCTAACAGATATTTTTGTGCGGAAACACGTGCGGATTTTGATTTATAACCATTTTTTGTTTCACAGACCGTCAGCAGGAGTGAACTTTTTGAAAAACTAAGAAAAAAGATAAATGATTCGAAGTACAAAATATTATCGTAGATTACATTAAAAAAAAGTTTAATTTAACAAATCCTAGTCGAGTTATGTAAAATGAGTTACGAGGAATTAGACACCTTCCTTTAGATTCTGATAGCGTGGGTGTCATCGTCACCGATTAAACGCTATCAGAATCTAAAGGAAGGTGTCGAATAGACCATCTCTAACCGACTTTTCCCGCGACCGACACGGAGCTTCATTTACACCTGGAGACAGGTGGGACACCAATTAGAAAGCGCGGAAGAAAAGTCCGTCCAATTAGCGACGATTCGGTCACGAAAAACTTATAAAAACTTCGACGTCAAGGACAGAAAGTGGCCTCCTCTAGTCTACCTGTGGTTTTAGTTTCCTCTCCGCTCGTCATACGTCCGTTCATCATTTTTTTGTGTGCTGATTCTCCCTATACGAACTATTAAAGTGTCGTCGCCCCGGGGGCCCTGTCGGCGTTGGACTGGAACGGAAAAAAGAAACGACTGAAGACAACTCACCGAACTCTGAACCCCGGAATCTTGATAATTTTATGTAAGCACATTCGTCAAAAATAAATGGTTTCCTTGTAAAACACTTGTCTTTCCTGCCTCCTCAAAACCGACAACCACGTACGAATAGACCTTAAGCCATCCCGACTGTAGGGAATAAAAACTCTCCCTCCTTACAAAATCAGCGACGAGATTGAAAAAACATATAATCGACCATCGGCACTACACAATATCATTCTCCCGAGGAAGCTCTGGCTTTAATTACCTCCACGAAGTTAACTAAATCGCAGTATATAATGTTACGGCAAAGTGCTATAGAAAAAGGTGTTAAGTGAGAGTTATTCCCGAAAAACAAAAGACTAAAAACAAACGAAATTTTTACGTCACCAAACCAAAAAAGTAAATTATTTTAAAAACAAAAATAACGCCCTCGGGTAAATTAAATTAAAATTATTACCTACAATACATCAAAAATATTAGTGTAATTGCAAAATGAGTTATTCAAATCAGATATAATTTACAGTAAAAGAAGAAATAAATCCAGGGGACGAGGGTAATTAGTTGCTACAGCGTACTGATGTATAGATTTTGTTAAAGGGTAATGTAATGAAATAGTTTAAAGGGGGAGGGACTCGTGCTAACAAAAACTATTTAGCTTACATTCGTGGTATTTGGCATTTTGGTTAAATTCAAGATACGTATACCGTCATGGCGGCTCATCTCTGATTCCAGCAAACAAAAGAAAGGAAACAGTGGGGACGCACGTTCTAACCTAACTTAACCTATTCTAATAAATTACCATAATTATTACCAACCAAATTATTAGATTAGGTTAGGTTAGGTTAGAACGTGCGTCCCCACTGTTTCCTTTTGTTTGCTGGAATCAGAGATGAGCCGCCATGACGGTATACGTATCTTGAATTTAACCGGCATTTTTTGACAGACATTTAACATTCTCTATTAATACTCTCGGAAGGTAATAAAAAAAACCATAATAGTTTCAGTCGAGAGTTTGTTGCCGTTGTTCGTTTTAAAATGGTAACATTGGTTGTGAACCCCTCAGCAGTAGTTATTCATTAGATCTTAATCCGATCCAGAAATTTGTCTGTTACGATGGGTATAATTAAGCTATTCTTTATGTTGTAAATTCTAATGAACAAAAACGAATAATAAAACACAAGACTCTTGCTCGAGTTTCCTTCTTTTCGGACAAGATCAGGAAATTATTAGATATAAACATTATTGATTTATTTATCTTAAATGCTGTAGCCTATATTAACAGTAATGTCATAAATAAACAAGGGATTAACGCTTTCTCATTATAACAAAATACAAAATTTCCCATTGAAAATACACAGAGAAAACAATTCATTGGTACTTTTCGGTTAATGGGACATCAGTTAATTTCTACATAAAATCGCTTTTTTATTTTGTTAATTATACTATTCGAAAATAATTTTAGAAAAATTAAAATGATTAAACTTACGAGCTTTTCCCATATTACATGAGAAGCATAAACCTGCAGATTTCGTGTATCGTCGCTGTAAACATTTCGGTCTTGGAGTGAATACCCAACTGCTGCGGAAGAACACGTCCGATATATTGTTTTCTGCGTATAAATAGACTGTCGTTCACTTCTATAACTTTGTTCGAATCGGCAATTGCCAAATTGTAAAATCCATTTACACTGAAGAAAGAAAAAACAAGAGAACAGCTACAGTTTAATTAATTAACATCGACAACATTAAAGTAACATCGTTCTGCATCACTTCTCCCAAGAAACGTAATTTACATATCAACGCGACGTTAAACGACACATTAATTAATAAGCAAAGTAGTTAAGGATTTTAATAGATATTTAAATTTACCATAATTTAGAATTTTTAATCAACTTATATGTATAATTAACATCGATAATCAACATTGCAAATGAAATCAACGGGAAAATATGCAAAACATTTTATGTATTTGACACGTGTCAATGAATATCGGTTGTCGTCCCTATCGATTTTTGTAATTTTTAATAAATTTGAAATAAAAAGGCATTTCTTTAATTGTACTCTAACATCATGTTAAGCGAATAAAGATAAATAATCAAGCCGTTAAAAATCACAGCTTGTGTTCCGTTAACGGAAAAGTACCCAACCATTTCTTTGTATACATTTTGTTAAAATGATTAAATTCAGTAAAACGTAATCTATAATCGAATTATAATGACTCGATAATTCCGGATATATTTAAACGGAACCTCGACAGAGCACAACACAGCGCGTGTTGTTGTTGGTTAAGTTATGGCAACGCAACACTTGGGCGATCTGCCAGAGGGATGCCTTCCGGTAGGTCTTTTTTTTTAAGGGAAACTGGAGTTACAGACGTGGAGAAAACACGGAAATCTTCACGTGGCCAGCCCGTCCGAGCGAGGCGCAAAACCCACGACCGAACTCCTAGTGTTCGGGGTACGAAGACCGCTTGGTCACTGGTGGGCACAACACAGGGCATTCTTCTTCTTATTCCGGATTGATGGGATAAAGCAACGCAACATAAGGGCAATCTGCTAAGGGGATAGATATCTCTCTCGAAGACTTTCTACCGGAAACTGGTTCTTATTTAAGTTAAATACTTTAGATAGGTTAAGAAAACTCGAAAAACTCGACGTTGGTAAGGTACGAACCCACGACAGCGTAGTTTTATCCACTTTAAACTTTTTCCCTTTAAAATATAAAGTGGTGGATAAGCGAGTAAAGTTAATTTTAACGAATTTTTAAAATAAACTTTTAATTCTAAATAAGTAACTTATTTATTTTTATACAGATAAATTCATTTAAAAGATTTTTAAAAAATGTTAAGAGTCCTTTATGGATAATTTAAATAGTGTACACAGGTGAAAAATAAAGATTTTGTTTTTCTGAATAAGACTTTCTCTATTTGCAAAAACTGATACAACACCAGTACAATAAGTGCTATTAATATACTAAGCTCAATGTAGACAACGATATAATTAAAATTCAATTTCTACTTTCTGCATTCTTGAGGCGCCTCTTCGTACTGTTCGTGTGATACTACTACAATAAGCCTACACAATCAGAATCAAAATCTCTTTTCATACGCACTGCAAGATACAAATTCATCGTCTCGTATTTCAGCAAAACACGAATTACGTGTAAAATTCTCTTTTCCACATCTGCACCACCATCTACAAAAAATAGTAGCTAAGAATTGTTGATCGGCATCCCGAAATATAAATGAAAATGAGGGTCCTCGCTCTTAGTATAAGCAAATCTAATACTTTTCTAATGTTAATCTTTTATTCTTGTTATCAACATGCTACAATCTACACGAAAACAAAGATAATAAATCGATTGTAAAACCCCTACACTGTATAATCCACCAGATTCATCTCCCTCCCTCTTTTCCGTCAGCAGATTCGCAGCGTAATGCTATTAACCAGCATTACAATAAATAATTAACTCACATTCGCACCCATTCGTTACGCTTCCTTCTTAACATCTACATAACACGTCACGAATTGTTATACTCAAATTATTAAAAATAAACATATATCCATTTGATGAAAACAATATATTAGCCAATCTGTATTTATACCTTAATTAGTTTGTACAAAAACCCTCATTCAACATCCACCTGTTACGCTTCCTCCTCACCATTAATTAACATAACAGGGCATGTTTTGCTATTCTCGAGCCACCGGATATTAACCAATTAATATATTAAATTCAATCGCTAATTATCTATTCGCTCCTTGGAACCATCTTCGCCAGACATTTTGTGAAAAAATCCTATTTCTCTGCCGTATTACGTCATCCGTATTTTACTGAAGGCTCTCGCCAATCTTAATTAATATTTCTAAGACTGTTCGTTCCTCTCAGTCTATTTTTATTAATCCATCTTATTAATAGATACTATATTAAACATTGATACATTTTCATTTTATAAATTCGTAACATTTGCTTCTTTAGTCACAGCGTGGCCTGTTGTCGTGTGGCGGTTTCTGTGGTTACCTTTATTAAGGATTACCTTGAAAAACTCGACTTCTACACCACTATTTTACATGTGTTTTTAGATGTGTAACTACAGAAACCGCAGCACGACAACAGGTCGCGCTATGGCTAAAAAATATTACACCTTATCTACTGTACTGTACTGTACACGATTGGCAAATAAGTAAATATAAATTCGTGCGTACTGAATATTTTAATGTGAACATATAATCGAAAATATCTCAGATTAAATCAAATTTTTGCAATTTATTTAAATTGTTTATCACGAAAATAACACACAAAAAGGCAAATTAATAAGACAGATCGATATAAATGTTGAAAATAAAAAAATTTCAAATGAGAAATGTGTAACAATAAAAACAAGCAACTATGATGAATCGTCATCTTTACGAGTACAAGTATTCATATCACAAGTAGTGTTTGCAGGGCAGCAATGTATTTTATCCGGACAACACACTGCATTTTCAAATGGACAACATCCCCAGTCGCCGCTAGGCAACTGGCAACAAGTGTCGCCATCTTTACAATGACCGCCATCTTTGCACGTGACGTCTTGTTGAGAGGCCGACATGGTCTCCATTACAGATATATTCTTGTCACGATGTGGCAAACAAATTTTGTTATCTATGCAAATGGTATTAGCGGGGCAACAATGAAGACCATCGGTACAGCAGGATCCGAAAGAATAAGGACAGCATTTATTTCCAACAGACGACACGCAACAAGTCTCACTCCCTTGACAGTAGTGTTTACCGTCCGGACACATACTATTCACTTTAGACGCCGGTTTGGTGTGTTTTAAGAAGATCGAATAGTCCGAAACTTGATGCAAAAGAACTCCCACGCATCTCATCTGTCTCAGATCGCATCTGGTATTTGCAGGGCAGCAATGTTCTCCATCCATACAACATACGGCATTTTCTACAGGACAGCACATGCTGGAATTGCCTTTTCCGGGACAGCAGGTGCCATTTTTAACGCATACAGTACCGTCTTCACATATTAGATTCGCATCATCTGAAAATGAGAAAAATAACTTATTAATTTAAAAATTATTATAAAAGTTATTTTATCGAAGATAATAAAATGTTATGTTTTAAACAGTTATGGAGAATGTGTATTAAGAAATTCTTTATCACATGAGCAAAAAATACGAAAAAACATTCACTTATTCTAGTTAATGAGTATAGAAGAAGGACCTTCTTAGGTACAAGGAGGAAAGTGGCATGTTATATTACACGAATTAACTACGCGCCTGTGAACCATTTATAAACAGTTTTATACAAGTTAAAATAGAAGATAAACTTAAAAGATGTATTATTTTAAACTAGAAAACAATATATAAATGGCATAAAGATCTTACTTTCAAAACATTCGATATCCCCATAAAACGTCGAAAGGATTAAAAATGATAGTACCAACACATTCTTCATGGCTTTGGCTATATAAAATGATATAAAAGAAAACGATGGTCTATTTAGAAATGATTGTTCTCGTTAATAAAATCTCACTAAGTAATTTCGGCTTTACTGAGTGTGTGATATATACTGTATTGAATATTTATTTAGGGTTATAGGTCAGCTAGTACAAAGTCTCTACCATCACGCTATATTCGTGTTTATGTTTAAGGTACCTTTTAAAGTGATGTGTTAAAATATTTGGCAATTGCACAACATAATTTATTTTGGATTTTTTAAATAAATAAATACTTCAAACGGATATAATGGCCTCAGGGTCGGCTGGAGCAAGCGGGGCCTTGGAAAATCGCTATTAGTGGGGCCTTGAATATTTGCAAAGAGATTTTTCTTATAAATTTGAAACTTCGGGTCCTCTCTGATCGCGGGTGTTTGGGCTAAGGCCCGAAAAACTAACTGATGAATCGGTCTTGAGTGGCCATCTGATAATATAGCCATATATATATATATAGGGCTATAATGTATTGAAAGTATATATATGTACTGTATATATAAACTATTAATTGTCGTCAATAATCTTTATAGATTCAAGAGAAGCGCGATAACTAAATGCAGATTCAATCTTTCGATAATTAATTTAAAATAACAGAGTTAATTTACATAGATCCAGATTTGTGTATTTTGCTTGTCGTTCTTTTAAATATTAAAATTATTTGTAATTTTATAAATTTAACAGACGTAATATTAAAATATTTGATTGGGACTCTGTACTTGGCAGATTACTATAAACAAAATAATTGACGAGTAGTGTAGTACTTTCATTTTAACTCCTTTCGGTATTGAATCGGAGTGTCGAAATTGCACCATTATGTGTAATAACGGCGCAGTATATTTGTATTTGGTTTAAAATGCATGTTAAAGGTTATTAACGACAATTAAAAGTTTATATATAATTAAAAGCTTTTCTCTTGTAAAACAGACGTTAATTAGCTAGTTAAATATAATTAAATGAATTTAATCTGTTATATTATTATTTAATTTAAATACTCTCCCAAATAATATCTTCGTATGCTATCAAATACATCGAGAGGCAACTCGATGGTTTGATTGATTGCAAGAAAACCTGAAAGGTAAACCGTAAACTAAACGATAAACTTACTTTTCGAGTTTAAATTTACGTTAATATTGTAAGTATTACCAGTAAGCCAACAGTAATTTCACCAAACAATACTTTTGAAAACGAACTGGCGCCATACTTCTAGTCTACGAATTTTCAATATGGCGTCAATACAGTAGACCCCTCCCTATAATACGGTAGATACGTTCCGTTTTATATGAATTCGTGTTTTACGATCACTTAAATACATAAGCCAATCACAGCCCGGCACGTGTGCAGTTTAGGGACTACTGTTGTTTGAAAGGTTTTCTTCCATAAAATTAATCGATTCGAGACTAATATGACTCAACATTTCCAAAATAATTTTGGGAATAATCCACATAAACTATGCTATAAAGAAAAAATTGTAGGATTACTTACCGAGTGTGCACCGTCGACGACGCCATTGCTTAAGCTTGTTTTCGTCGTGGAGCTTGTCATCGAATGGCGCTCGCGTGCTTCCTGATAAATTATTTTTTTTGCGAAAAATTCGCTGAACTTTGGAGACATCATTAATAGAAATATAATTTTTATGGACGTTAAATAATAAATGGTTTTTAGTAGGTCCGCTGCTCGTTTAAACTCAACGGTTTGTACAATATCCGCTATTGGTCTAGATTCGACCAATCCTGTCGCGACACGAGTCGGCGATGACGTTTTACCGTATTATACGAGTTTCTTTTAGCGTGTTTATACGAATACGGTCGCAATTTTTTGCCATTATATACGAATCCGTATTATATGAACCCCGTTTTATAGGGGTCTACTGTACATTATGCCATATTGAAAATTTGTAGACTGCTCCGAACAAAATATTATTAACAACTACAGTTTTATTTTATATATTTTACAGATTATCTAAATAAATTTTATTAAGTAAGATCGTTATTCGCTTCAGTCAATACGTAATGCGATCATACAGTATGTTCGTGAATGTGTATATACCGGGGTTTTAATTAATTATAATTAAATAACTTCATTAAACGTTTCTAAAATAGATATTTTTGTTTTTAAAATTACAAGGTAGTACAATAAATTCGAGTAAAATAGTAATAAAAAAGTGATAAATAGGAACACAAAAGTAAAAACACGAGTAAGTTGGAGCACAAAACTGAAAAAATTTGGGAAATAGGCATACAATATTTAAAAAATAAACGTAGGGAAACAGAACTTTAAGAAAGTAAAAACAGGAGCATAAAATTTAAAGAAGAGTAAATAATAACAATTTAACTATAAATTATTTGAGAATTTCGAATTTTTTATTTATTTGAAGTGTGTAATAACTGCACATGTCACATTCTAATATTTTCTCAACGTTTAATTGATTTTTTCTTAATTACGTTAATCATTTCTTAATTTATTCTTAATTATAAAAGATTACGTGGTCGAGATGATCTATGCCCCTCCTGGTTACGCTAATCCCTTTTCCTTCGAGTAATTTTCATCCTTGTGATTGAAAACAAGATGGAAAAGTGATTAAATATTGTAAACAATCTACTTTTTTTATAAATATATTTTCGAAGAAAATTTAATTTATTAATGAAATAAAATAAAAATTAACACATTGTATTTAAAAATAAATTTACTTTATAGAAGTTAGAGTCGAACTACATGAACTGATTATAGTGAGAATTTATACAAGTATTCGTAAGCACACATACAGTAATAACGATAAAATGATATAAATGATTAACATTTTATAATAAAACATATTAATTATAACTAATTTTCGTCAGAAGAAATGCAAATCGCATTATAGTCGTCACAAGTAGTTTTGGCAGGGCAGCAATGTATTTTATCTGGACAACACACAGCATTTTCAAATGGACAACATCCCCAGTCGCCGCTAGGCAATTGGCAACAAGTGTCGCCATCTTGACAACGATGACCATCTTTGCACGTGACGTCTTGGGGAGAGACCGACATGGTGTCCATTATAGATATATTCTTGCCACGATCTGGCGAACAGTATTTGTTATCTATGCAAATGGTATTAGCGGGGCAACAATGAAGACCATCGGCACAACAGGATCCGAAAGAATAAGGACAGCATTTATTTCCAACAGACGACACGCAACAAGTCTCACTCCCTTGACAGTAGTGTTTACCGTCCGGACAGATACTATTCACTTTAGACGCCGGTTTGGTGTGTTTTAAGAAGATCGAATAGTCCGAAACCTGATGCAAAAGAACTCCCACGCATCTCATCTGTCTCAGATCGCATCTGGTATTTGCAGGGCAGCAATGTTCTCCATCCGTACAACATACGGCATTTTCTACAGGACAGCACATGTTGGAATTATCTTTTCCGGGACAGCAGGTGCCATTTTTAACGCATATAGTGCCATCTTCACATATTAGATTTGTATCATCTGTAAAAGGGGAAAATGGTTTACTTACTTCATGATTTTTAGTTAGAAATATTGACATAACTTTTTAGGGTGATATGCGTAAAGTGTAGACAGTGAGTGTAGTATATAATCGGATTGACATTGAGTTACCCAAGATGAAATTGCCCATTAATCATGACGAGAGTATACATGGAACTTAGCAAACAACATTTTAAGTTTATTTTAGTTGGAATGAATCTGTTTCCACTCGAAAACATCGCTTAGTGTCAAGACATAAATGAAAAATTAGGCGTTAGTTATAAATGAACTAGTCATTTTCGATCTATGCTTACGTTGTTTAATTAGTAATTCGAACGTCATTTATTTTGCATGTATTGTATGTATTTGACATCATTTGATTTATCTACTCTTCATGCCAGAATTTTTACAAGCCAACCTCCAATAAGGACAACCTCCCGACATCGGTCATCTGTAAACAGCAGCCATTTTTGAACCGCGTACAAAGTAATTTCCAAACGACGACCATTTTTCTCATCGGTGGCCGCCATTCGAAGGTTCGACTGTACGTAATTGTTTATTAGACATTTCAGAATGAAGGAAAATAAATACGATCTAGTTTTTCTCTATTTAAATCTACTCTTTTTTATATATATTTATATTTTCAAAAAACTGATGCAAAGTAGAAAATAAAAACAATAAGAATAAATTATAATTAAAGTTAAATGCAAATAAAATAACAATCTTACCTTCAGAACGATTGACAGAGAATATGGAAACAATTAAAAATGAAAGTAACAGTAAATTCTTCATGATTTATAATAAATGAATAATCCAAATTGTTGTTACATGAAAGCAAAATTGCGAACAAACCGGGATTAACTACAATATAACCCAAGTGAGACTTGACTTTACAGTATTTTGTTTATATTAAGATCACTTGTCAAGTACAAAGTTTCTATCAGATTATTCCGTAGTTTAAACTTTAAACAAAAGTAATGCTTAACTATATTTTTTAAACAGTAAAATTATCGTGTTATATAACATTTTTTGCAAATTAAGTAGTTTCTTTGAGTTCAAAGAATTAGTTGAGGCAAAAGCTGGAGCATTCATGTTTTTTCCTCAACTAATTCTTTAGACTTTTCGAACACTCTTTACATCTAAATTGCAATCGTGGGGAAGCTGTTAACAATAGTAATTCAATAACAGTAAATGGTTATGGTTGAAAATAGGGGTTTAGGGGTGCTGAACTCTCCCTGTAAGGTTTCTCTACCAAGTAATGTCGGGTACCTCACGTAGTAAAAATTTAGTGAGGTACAAACTGTTTCCTTTTTTCGCCCCATCTAAAGATTTCTATTGAAATGTTTAATCGTTCTACAGTATAATGTCTGAGAAGTATAAACAGGAGCTGAGAAAACAAAGAGAAAGATGCTTTACCACTTTATAAGAGAGTCTTAATTACTTATCCTTATTGTTATTTTACAAGTATAATGACGTAAGTCATTAAAAATTAAATAAAACTAATAGTAGTTTAGTTTCAATATAACTAAAAGATGGCGACACTTCAATTCACAACCAGTATCAATTAAAATACCGCCATCTGTTCGTTAATATTAAAACTAAAAATCTTTACTTCTTAATTTTCTCGTACACCCATAAATAAATAAATTATTAATTAATAAAATAATAAATATATATTTATCTCGGAACGTAAAGCATAACAATAAAATCAATAGTTATTTAGAATACTTAATTAAAAGGCATATCGTCACCAAGTTCAATATTGTTTACTTGTATGCAAAATATTCTTAGGAATTATTTACATTCGGTAAAAAATTAATCCTAACCGTTATCTTACTAGAAAATTGACGAATAATTAAATTATAATCCCGTAAACTTTCATTTTTTATGCGATGTAATTTTTATGCTGAACCAAAATTTCTGCTGTGTTCGGGATTTTGCTGACCCCGGACGAAGACAAGTACCGAATGTTAGTATTTTATGTAAAAAGCACGATATGGAAATATTAAAGTAAAGTTTTCTTTCGATAATTGGTGAAAAATCTGCTTCTGGTTTAAAGAAAGTAATGGGATCCACATATGTGATGCCAGGGTCTCATCTCAAGCCTTACATATGGTTAAAAAATTATTATAAAAGTTATTTTATCGAAGATAATAAAATGTCATACTTTAAACAGTTATGGAGAATGTGGATTAAAGCATTCTTTATTATATGCAGAGAAAACTCTACCGATGCGCATTGGTTTGGTTTGTGTGGTTATGTTAACGCGACACGTGGGCTATCAGTCGAGCGGAATGTCTTCCAGAAGGACTTTTATGAAAAACTAGCACATATTTAATCGATAAATAAATAAAATTTTGTCATTGATTAAATTAACATAAATGTTGAAATTTTAACTTAGATTTTTGGTACACATGAAGAAGTAAGCAAAAATTACGAGAAAACATTCACTTATTTCAGTTAATGAAGTACGGTCATCGCGCTTCAGTTGTATGATGTAAATATGCCATACTTTGGTATCCCAGCACGGTATGGCATATTTGCCATAACTTTTAGTGGGAACTAAAAATATGGCAAATACGCAAACATTACAAGAAGCGCTTCTAATAATAGGGTCATATGACTTTTTCAGCTTTTATATAAAATCTGAAAAACTCGTGTGACTAAAACTTATCACAAATATATTTATAACTTAGGTTTTATCTTTATTCTAAGGCCCTACACAAGACCAATACGCAATAAACAGCACTTTTCAGTAATGATAGTAAATAAACCAAAGAATCTTTTCGAATTTATATTATTAAATCATATTGCAGCTGAAGTTTTTGAGCTATGCATAAATTTTAAGACATTTTAATATGTGTTCCATTTGTGGCACGTACAATATTTAATGTGTTCAGTTTCATGCCACGCATTCCTTAGCATTTTGGGTTTTATTGTTTCAATAACTTTCGTAATACGTTGTTCAAGTTCAACAATATCAAGCACTTCAGTTAGGTAAACACGACCTTTATGTGGAGGAGCCCTACATTTTGTGTTTCCCACACGAAGATCATTGTGCCAGGTGATGTGGATCGGGCTCAACATATCCGGGACACACCATTCCCGAAAACACCTAGGGGTTTTCGACCGCCGTATTCGATCCTGGATCTCTATTGCGGTAACCTAATTTTTACACCTCTTCTAAAGATTTCCCGATCCTTTATTGGTATAGTGCTCTGGAGGATCCGAAATTGCGTACAACTTCCCACATTCGTAGGAAGTTGTACGCAATTCCGGATCCTCCAGTTGTAAGCAAGTTGTACGCAACTCCGGAATTGCGAGACTTCGCGATTCCGGAGTTGCGTACAACTTGCTTATTTTTAACTTCGCGAAACTCGCGAAGTTAAAAATAAATTTACTATTTCTATAGAGAATTTTCACTTCTTATTTTACAATTTACCTAAAGATATTAGTAAAATGAAAGTACTATTATAAAATACAATATGTTTATCATAAATTTGAATGCTTAGTAGTCAAAGTATAATATTTTAATTTACAATTGCGGTATTTTAATTGATACCGGTTATCAATTGAAGTGTCGCCATCTTTTAGTTAATATTGAAACTAAACTATTATTACTTTTATTTAATTTTTGCCCCAAACCCTGGAAATAGGGCCACCTAAACTTAATTTTTTATGTAAAAAATCGATATAAATTATTGTGTCGTTTGATAAGAGAGAATCTGAGGATTCGTTTATTTTTTATGAGACCCTCTTATAAAGTTGTAAAGCACCTTTCTCTCCGTTCTGTCAGTTCCTGTTTATACTTCTCATTCGATTAAACGTTTCAACCAACAGATAATCCAGAAATCTTTATATGGGGTGAAAAAAAAAGGAAACAGTTTGTACCTAAGTAAATTTTTACTACCCGGCATTACTTAAATAAAAACCCCTACAGGAGAGTGCAGCTGCACCCTGCGTACCCCTAAACCCCTGTTTTCAACCATAACCATTTACTGTTATTGAATTACTGCTGTTAACAGCTTCACCCACGATTGCATTTAAATATAAAGGGTGTTCGTGTGAAGACACAAATTTATTTTCAAACGATATGCAACACGTACTTTTATGTCACCAGGAACTTAGCGACGAGAATTCGCTGTTGGACAAAGACGTTGCAACTATACCAAAGAAGGGTAAGGGAAAAAACGGGGAGGACCCCGAAATAAAAAGGAAGCTCCGATGACGACACAGAAAGTTCGTTGTCTCCAAAGTTTGTTACTCATCTCGGGTACATCTCCCTCCTGTCGATCCTGATCCTAAACGAAGAATCCTACGGATCATCGATTCGCCGCTCCTTTAATTAATTCATCGACAACCAACCTCCTCGATTTTTCAAGGTATTTATCAACTCGCAGACAATTGAATACCTCCATCCTTTCATTAATTTTCTCATATACTCATAAATACATAAATAATTAAATAAACTATATTACTTTCTATTTTATTTTATCGATAACCTAATGGAGTAATGATCTTCAATATATTCTTTATTCATTTAGCAAATAAAAATGAATATTTATTATATTTTAATTTATAATTTTTTTGATAATTACAAGTCGACCCCCCTATAACACTGTTGATTATTCCGTTTTATATGAATTCCATGTTGTACGAGTCACTTAGATTTTACAAATACGTGAGACATTCACAGCCAGGCACACGTATTTGTAAAATCTAAGTGACTCGTACAACATGGAATTCATATAAAACGGAATAATCAACAGTGTTATAGGGGGGGTTGACTGTATATAACTTCTCCCTCTTTATTCATTCAAAAATTATTTTTTTTTATTTAATAGAAAATGTGATTATCGCACACACTTGAAATAAATAAAATATGAAAAAAATTCTAAAATAATTTATAATTAAATTGTTATTCTTTATTTTTATCTTTAAATATTTTTATATTATCAATTTATCGTTACTTTATCAATTCTTAGAATATATCAGATATTTATATTAAAATTCAAATTGTATAAATATATTTTATTATTTATTTTAAAATTATAGAAAGATTTTAATGCTGTATTAATTAATAAAAGGAAAGTAAATACATTTTTACTACTATTTTTTCAATTTTTTTTCTGTAAGAAACAGTCTACAAATTTTCAATATGGCGTCAATATATGACACCATATTGTTTCAAAAGTATTGTTTGGAAAAAATTAATGCTGACTTGCCAATAAAAAAATACTTACAGTATTTTTTATTGGCAAGTCAGCATTATTTGCTTTATTGAACTCGGAAATTAAATTTATTCCACGTTTTACCGTTTACCTTTCAGGTTTTCTTGCAATCAATCAAAGCATCGAGTCGCCTCTCGATGTATTTCATAGCATACGAAGATATTATTTGGGAGAGTATTTATTAAATTAATTAATAATATAATACATTTAATTAGTTAATTAACATCTGTTTTATAAGATAAAAGGCACACTTTTATTACGTACAAACATGTCGCGCTGTGATTGATTTTTTTATTTATTTATTTTGATTTTAGACTTTGTCTTGTGTTAGGATCTCTGACCTTGAAATATCCTTCTCTCTCTTTCCACTTCATCTATTGAGGGGTGTCATAAGGGAGCAAGTAGTCTGACGAGTACTGCACGTCAATTAAATTTCGTAATTTTTTTTTTTAAGTATAATTTACAAATTTATTTTAGAATATCTGTAAAATCAAATAATATAAATTGTCTGGTTTATTTCTTTCAATAAAAGATAAAGCTTAAGATGAATTAAATCGATAAAAATGTGTGGAATTCAAAAAATAAGTTAACTCTTTGGACTACTGGATAATTCTTCACTGCCTCAACACATTAATTATTATTTAAATATTATATGATGCCTTCTAAGTTGACCTTAACATAGGAAATTTCAGGGTGTACAAAGGTATATTTAAATTATCCGCATTCCACATTTAAATTATAATATAATTATCCACATTCTATACGGAATTATACCGATATGAGTAAAAGAAAAATTATAAGTATTACGTTAAAACGTTATTATTTTGATTAAATTTTATATTAAATATTAATTTTCTACAAGTTATTATAATTATTTTTTAAGCTGTGTATAGAATAAATACGTGGATAAATGATTATCTCTGCTGATAACTTGAAAAAAAATTTGTACTTAATATAAAAATTTCGAGGCAATAGAAGTAATTTAGAAGAACCATAGAATAAAGGAATTTCTGTTGACCTTATAGGAGAGTAGCGTGTTGTAAGAAGGTCTCTGTTATCGCTTGACCTTTGACATTGTTTATCCCTCTAGAGGGGAGATTAGCCACAGAACGTGTATAGCGATGCTCTAGTCGTTGAAGTTCACTCTCGGTTTGGTCGGCGCTGCAAAAGGATGAATCGCTACTTTCTCCTCCTCTGTACCATTGTCATTTTATGTCATGGATTCGGTGAAGGTGGTATTCTTACTGATCTTGAAAAAGGACTTAGTAACATCGATCCATTAGGGGACTTGAAAACTCAGATTGAAAATCTGGAAAAGAATCTGTCGTCTCTTTGGAGCATGGTTTCTGACATGAATAAGAACGTTAAACATGATCTGCATCAGCTGCATCTTTTTCAAATGGAAGTAAATGATAAATTGAAGAATTTTCTCGGAATGCCACTAAGTAAGTAAATCGTTTTCTTTGCAGTGATTTTTATTTTATGTACAATACTTATTAATCGTTTATCACGTAGAGAATGAAGGAAAAGATATGCATCATATGAATGAAGATGGTCTCGAACATTCTGATCATTCAAAGTCCTATCACGGCTCTTTTCATGACCGTCATCGTGACGATCATCATCACGGAGGTCACCATGACGATCATCACCACGACCATCATGGAGGTCATTACGACGACCATCATGGTTATCATAGACCTCATCATTATGGATCCGATGTACATAGTCGTGAAGATCATCATGACAGTCACGAAGATCACCATGACAGTCACGAAGATCACCATGATGATAGCCATCATCACAATGATAGTTCTCACGAACACGACGACTCTCACAAAGGACATGACTATCATGGTGACCACCATCACGGGCATGACGATCATAGTGACCCCCACCAAGGACATGACTATCATAGTGACCACCATCAAGGGCATGACGATCATAGCGACCACCACCAAGAACATGACGATCATAGTGACCACCATCAAGGGCATGACGATCATAGCGACCACCATCAAGGGCATGACGATCATAGCGACCACCACCAAGAACATGACGATCATAGTGACCACCATCAAGGGCATGACGATCATAGCGACCACCATCAAGGGCATGACGATCATAGCTATCACAGTAGTCACGATAATTTTCATCACCATCATTCTGACCATCACGATACTACTACTCAAACAAACCGTTCGCACAGCGACGACCATTCTCAACACAAAGATGTGCATAATGTAAGCCACGACGATCATCATCATCACCATGAATCTCACCATGATTATCATCATCATCATCACGATCAATCCCATCATTCAGAAAGCTGTAAGTACTAAAAATGTATTTAAAAACAACAATAAAGTACTTTATAAACACATATTATAGTATAAACTTTAATCTGTAGTAAACTTCGATTTTGCCATCTGTAACGTAACATCGAACAGAGCCATACCTGAAGAAAAACAACAAAATGTTACGGGGCTAATTAGATTATGGCAGAAGGTAAGAGGAGCATTTACTGTTATTATTACTATTATTTTTTAGCCAAAACTCAAGCGAAAATTGATAATTTATACTTTAAATGGCACAGGAAAATGGTACTTTACACATTCACATACAACTAGAAGGTTTCAAGATTCATCAACATGATTCGGGAGATCACAAATCAGAAAAACACACCCATGGTTTTCACGTGCACAGGGATGGAGATTTAAGCAATGGGTGCCAATCAACCGGTCCTCATTACAATCCGTTGGAAGTCGCTCATGGTGGTCCAAAATCACCTGTCAGGCAAGTTTAATCATAATTAACCGTTTTCGGTACGATTTTAAATGTTAATTTATTTAATTATCCACGTAGACACGTGGGTGATTTGGGAAACATTGCGTGCGATGAACATGGAGTGACAAATATTGTGATAACTGACGAAATTGCTTCGTTACAAGGCCCATATTCAATCATAGGGAAATCGTTAGTGGTAGGTAGAAATGAATAATTCTCTTATAAATTTATTTAATATGGATTATAGATTAATTAAATAAATATTTATTTTTAAGGTTCATGAAGATGTTGATGATTTCGGTACCAATCCTGATATTCCAGCGAGTATATCGAGTGGAAATGCTGGTAGTAGAATAGCCTGTTGCATTATAGAGAAGGTAGAACGTCTTCCACCTCCAATAAGAAAGGAGAAAACTAGTAACTATCATCATCATCATCATCATCATTCCAGCCATCATCATTAATAAACATCATGTTCCGAAATTTTTATACATTTAACATTTATTCATTTTATGTTCAATATATGGAAGAATTTAGATATTTTTGGATACTATTTTGAAACTTTGTATTTTTTTTCATATATCTGTGATGAATATATAAATAATAAAAATTGATAATTGATGTGTTGACAGTAATGACGAAACTGATTTTCAGTGGTTTTTTTAATGTGAAAACTTATCTTTATACTCGTTTTAATTATTATAAAATGTCAAAAAGTTTAATTTTAAGGGTAATGACGAGTTGTATAAAAACTGTAAATGATAGTAACCAGTAACCAGACCCTACTGGAGATATGAGACACTATCCCGTATATCTTCTCACTCCCGCGACCTTTAACCATAAAAATTTAAGAGCATCAAGCCCCCTAATACAGAAACCTCCCTGCAAAATTTCAGAAATTTTTGACAATAGGCATAGGAGTTATTAAGCTTCAAAGTTGGTGAACAAAAAATCGTGCCTCCCACACACTTAACATATTAGCATCCATATATACAGAAAAATCCTTAGCATTTTTACATTTCTTGACGTTTTGAAAGGTGGAATGCGTACAAAATAACCTCCAAATAACAGACGTTTTCGTTAGTGGCCTTTGTGTAGAGGTTTTTCTGTATTAATAAGGAAGAAAGAATGCATAAGAATTAAGATCCGATTGGTATCATTAAGATCGCAGACACGCAGACAATCAAGGTTAAATCAATAGAGTATACAACATGTCACTCAATTTTGATGTTGAAATATTGTTTCAATATAATTAGCTCTACGTTAAATAAATATTTAAATTATAGTTGATACAGGAAATTCTTTTTGATATTGCTGACAGTTCATAAAGTATAGCTCGTAATTTATTTTTAAATACAGTATATGGTAAAAACACTTAGATGAACTGTTGGGGATATAGTCAAGGAAGAACCACGGTGTCATATAATACAGTTCTAGTTAGTGAAGATATAAAAAAATTCACATATGAAATAAAATGGGTTAAGGTAGATTAGAGAGTAAAAGAGGAAAGATTAGCAGAGTTCATATACTTTGAATTGAATTAATGAAATAGGGAAAGTCAATGCTTGGGAGGTCTGCCAAGGACGGTGCCTCCCAGTGACTTTCTATAGAAAATTGGTCCCTAGTTGGTTTGACACGTGAAGAAAACACGAAAAAAACCACGTGGCCTGCCTGTTGGTGAGCGCGAATCCACTAGTATTCTGTGATCTTATCGATTCGACCACTGGTGGGCTCGATACATTTTAACTTTAGTGGTAAGGAGAGAGAGATGCAAGTTAGTTATCGGAGAAAGGAAAGTAAAGAATGGAGAAATTTAAGTACTTAGGATCAATGCTAGAGATTGGACGAGAGCTAGTCACAGATATAGCAAACAGAATAGGTACAGTTTAGGGTGGCAAAAATGGCAGAATGCAAGTGAAATGCTTTGTGATAAAAATGTACCACTTAGCTTAAAATTAAAGTTTATATGACAGCTGTTAGGACTGCAATGTTCTATGAATCTGAATGTTGGTGAATGAAGAAATCTCAGATAAAAAGAATGCTGGTAGCAGGAATGAGGACGCTTAGATTTGTGTATGGGGTTACCTTAGCTGATAAAATTAATTTAATTAAAGCATAAAAGGGGTAGTTTAGGAGAATAATTGAATGAAGCTTCTGGAAAATAGACCAGTTTGGTAAGTGGTTAGAAGAAAAAAGGATAAATTAATTAGACTCTTCAGACGATCAGGGATTTAAGAACTAAGAGAAGTAGAAGTAAGCCAAAGAAAAGACAAGAAAGATTTAATGCAGTAACAGTTAAATGAGTTAGCTCAAAATGAGATAATTTGGAGAGCACTGTGAGAGGGAAAAGGGATGGATGATTACCATAGTAACTTTCTAAGATATTGTCAGATTAATATTGAATCCTATAAAGCTTAACATTTTTTTAAACGAAATGTCTATATTAAAATAATTTTTGTCTATTTTTTTTTAAATGTGAAAACCATTTAACTCCGAAATTTTTGTATAACACGAACATGAGATTATCTGTATGAATAGAAAAGACTGATACACAATTCACCATAGAAATATCACTACCACACAAAAGCTGGCAAGTACTCGACTTTCTCAGCACTCGAACAGGAGGTCAATTATTATAAAAAGGAAAAAGATAATTTATTTTTGATGGTAGAGTTGACCTTTTTAAAATATTATAAATGCCAATAACGAGAAAAATCTTCATTATGTCTGACTAGAGATATGTCACCTGACCCTATCTCCCCACCCCTTCGACCTTTAACCACCAGAATTTAATAGCATCGATACCCCCTTACACACAAGCTACCGTGCCAAATTTCGTTTCTTAATCTTTACCCCTTTCTGAGATATTAAACGAAATAAACGCCAACACACAACCAAACAAAGGGAATTTTTTCCCTTTGTTTGCTTCACTTTTTTGGGTTCAGGGATTGAAAAAATCGATATTTGCAAAAAACTCAAGGTCAAATTTGACATTATTATAATAAAATTCCCTAACAAATGAGAAAGTAAAGTAAACTATAAAGAAACGTGCCTCCCTCTAGTGTCAACGAACAAAAATATTAATTTGTAATAAATTTAATAAGATAAACACTTTAAAATACCAACTTATTAATATAATAAAATAAATATTTAAAAAGATTAGTTAATTAATATAATATTTTGTATTATGTAGGGTTTGTAACACATGAAATTCGTGTGACCACTTGTCGTCACTTACCAGGAGTTTTAGCCTTAAATACTTTATAGAACTCAAAGAAACGATATTTAATTTGCAAAAATGTGTGCAGGTAGAAGGGGGAATTTGTTGAATATATTATTTAAACATGCTCAAGGCTCGTGTTGTTTAAAAATTTTCTTATATCGTGCATAGGCAAAGATGTACAGTAGACCCCTATAACGCGGGTTCCTATAACGGAGATTCCTATAACGAGGCGAAAAAATTGCGACAACATTCGTATAAAGACGCTAAAAGGGACGCGTAAAACGCGGTAAAACGTCATCGCCAATTCGTCATCACGGACGAGCAACCGAACTACTTTCCGCCGTCCAGCGCCACGCTACGGAGAGTTTAGACGGGTAATTTACATACTGTAGACTATCGTCTGTACAGTATGTAAATTAGGTACCGTAAGTCTAATACAGTACTGTAATTTTATACATTTCTTGTGAAAAAAACATTTCTTATTCAACGGCCATAAAAATTATTTATATTAATGATGTCTCCAAAGTTCAACGAATTTTTCGCAGAAAAATAACATCAGAAATCGAGGCCGCCGTTTGGTGCGCTGCTCCGCGACGAAAACAAGCTTGAGCAACAACGATGTCGAATGGTGCACACTCGGTAAGTAATCCTACAATTTTTTGTTTATAGCGTAGTTTATACGGATTATTCCCCAAAAAATATACGTATTTTGGAAATGTTAAGTCGAATTAGTCTAGAATCGATTAATTTTATGGAAGAAAACCTTTCAAACAGCCGTAGTCCCTAAACTTCACACGTGTCGGGCTGCGATTGGCTCGTGTATTTAAGGATTCCTACAACGCGAAATTCGTATAACGAGGAACGTATCTACCGCGTTATAGGGAGTCTCTGTACTTAGATAAATCCAAAATAAATTTTTCTATCTCCATTTGTTAACCGATGCTTTATAACACGATTGTAATACTGTTTAAAAAAATTCAGCAACGAGTTGCGTAACTTTCCCGGCGAAAAACATTAAGATATACTAGCACAAAGTTGAAATTGTTTGTGGTGATATCTGTTAAGAGATTTTGTAAAAAAATAACTTTTATATTATTAATTATTATAAAATGGCAAAAACCTTAATTTAAAAGGCAGAAATGAGTTTTATGAACAATTGTAAATGATAATAAGAAGTAAAATTTTCATTAAGTCCGAACCTGCTCGAGATATGACACGTAACCCCCTGTATTTCCCCACGCCTCGGCCTTTAACCATCAAAATTTAACAGCATTAATAACCCTTATATACAAGCTACCGTGCCAAATTTCATTTCTTAATCTTCACCCTATTCTGAGTTATTAAGGGAAACAGACGTTAATACAAATACAAACACAAACACACGGTACAGTTTAGGGTGGCAAAAATGGCAGAATGCAAGTGAAATGCTTTGTGATAAAAATGCACCACTTAGCTTAAAATTAAAGTTTTATATGACAGCTGTTAGGACTGCAATGTTCTATGAATCTGAATGTTGGTGAATGAAGAAATCTCAGATAAAAAGAATGCTGGTAGCAGGAATGAGGACGCTTAGATTTGTGTATGGGGTTACCTTAGCTGATAAAATTAATTTAATTAAAGCATAAAAGGGGTAGTTTAGGAGAATAATTGAATGAAGCTTCTGGAAAATAGACCAGTTTGGTAAGTGGTTAGAAGAAAAAAGGATAAATTAATTAGACTCTTCAGACGATCAGGGATTTAAGAACTAAGAGAAGTAGAAGTAAGCCAAAGAAAAGACAAGAAAGATTTAATGCAGTAACAGTTAAATGAGTTAGCTCAAAATGAGATAATTTGGAGAGCACTGTGAGAGGGAAAAGGGATGGATGATTACCATAGTAACTTTCTAAGATATTGTCAGATTAATATTGAATCCTATAAAGCTTAACATTTTTTTAAACGAAATGTCTATATTAAAATAATTTTTGTCTATTTTTTTTTAAATGTGAAAACCATTTAACTCCGAAATTTTTGTATAACACGAACATGAGATTATCTGTATGAATAGAAAAGACTGATACACAATTCACCATAGAAATATCACTACCACACAAAAGCTGGCAAGTACTCGACTTTCTCAGCACTCGAACAGGAGGTCAATTATTATAAAAAGGAAAAAGATAATTTATTTTTGATGGTAGAGTTGACCTTTTTAAAATATTATAAATGCCAATAACGAGAAAAATCTTCATTATGTCTGACTAGAGATATGTCACCTGACCCTATCTCCCCACCCCTTCGACCTTTAACCACCAGAATTTAATAGCATCGATACCCCCTTACACACAAGCCACCGTGCCAAATTTCGTTTCTTAATCTTTACCCCTTTCTGAGATATTAAACGAAATAAACGCCAACACACAACCAAACAAAGGGAATTTTTTCCCT